CAGCTACAAGAACCCTGTTCACTTCCACTTATATTAATATTTAACTTTTTCAAAGCCTGTAATGCAAATAGAAATGAAGTTCAGAAGCTGATTCAGTAAATGCAGAGGGCACTTTAATTATTCAAAGGGCTGGGAACTTTGTATAAAGTTCAATAGGCCACTATAAAACTAAAAGCAATTTATTCCCATGATAGTGATTTTGAGTTTTATTGTAGCGGGCTGAAAGATAACATTTTCAAAGAAAGAAAGGAAATATAACATTTCAAAGAAGATGCTAAATGTACTGTTCTTTGCAGTGTGTGGTGTCCTTGATACAAATATAAATAGCTGCTTTCCATTTATTTATAACTCTTGAGGTTAGAATAGTAATCTTCAAACAATGCACTAATAAAATAGCCCTCAGTAAGCTCAGTCATGTAAAGACTTGGATTCTAAAATAAATGAACACAGGAATCCATGGAAGGAAAATTTCTATACCCCTCTTTCCCTGAAGCTTCTTACCTGATCCTTCATGAAATGTTTTTGGGAGAGTTCCCTCCAACACAATGACTTGGGGTGGAATGGCAGCTATTTCCCAAAACAGAAAGGCGCTTCTGGCCCTCTCCTTAATTTTGGATGAGTCTCTCTAATCAAAAGCCCCCATCCCATGTTGTGCACGAGGATGCTGAATTGCCAGAGAAAGGTTTTTGGCTACCAGAGGATGGGAAAGAAAATCTTTCCTCCACGATTCCCCTTGTGCTCAATTTTCTTACGATTTGTCTGCTAAAGATGATGTAATAACACCTAGGATGAGTACAGTGCCACACAATCCTTTGGCAATACACAATTGCTTGGGAATAAAGCATACTGAATTAAGTGTGGATTATTTCTAAATGTAGAATATTCTTATTTCTTTTCTTTTCTTTTCTTTTCTAATTCCTCTTCCTCCAAGACTTTTGTTGTTGTTGCTGTTCTTTTGTATGGTATGTTGGTATTTTGAAGGCAATATGATGAGGAATGCTGAGATTTGTTAAATGATCAGTGGGACTAAACTTTATATCCCATAGCAGAGCATGTTAAATTTTCTTACACTTTACAATATTTAATATTGCAATCCTATTGAAGTAAATCATTCTGACTTTAGTGGGATTTATTCCTAGATAAACATATTTAGGATTGCAGCCTAAATTTCTTTAAATCTAAGATCCTATGTGTTTAAAATCATATTTTTCAAATTGTGCTTACAACTTAAAAATGCATGAGCTAAATTCCTCTTTCATACTACAGAATGTCTAAAGCTTAGAGATTTCTTTCTTTCCCAATACTGGGGTTGGCTCAAAAAGTTAGTATTTTACAGCACGTGATTTTAAAGGAAGAATGCTAGGAAATGTGGTTTTTTCTTACATTATTTCAAACTTTTGGTTGCCCTTATTATAAACATTTGGTTTATGGGGAAACTACCCTCACCCCCAGATGGTTACTGATTGATGTTTTCCCTTCCCAGGTGTAAAAAAAAAAAAAAAAATAGACTATCAGCTTGCCAATCTAGAATGCAACATTTTTCACTGTTTGGATTAATACTAACTTCTCAACTTGCCATTCTTACAGCTATACTGGAAGAATATATGCAGGAAGCTGATAGTGTCATTTACTGGAATGCACTTGAGTGTGTCCAAAGTTTGAGACCCGATGAGGCCAGTCTCTTACCATGTCATTTCTGGTACAGACTGTGGTCTGGAGTTGCTTCCATCACCTGAGGCAACTCTGTCAAGTCTACCCTTTTTTTTTCAGCTGCTACCCTCACAATGGTTGCGCATACTTTGGTGGTTGCCAAGTTGGACTACTGTAATTTCTATGATGTGGAACTTCCCCTGAAGCAAATGAAAATTAACTTCTATTTGTCAATAGTAATGGATGCTATTACTTATCTTCATGGCATCAATAGCTTTGTTCATCTCTATGTACTGAATATAAGTTAATGGAACAATGTCTAAGAACACAAGGCATCCTGATGCTAATTACTGTACTAAAAGATGGGTTTTATCTAGGTAACATTTATGCCGTCTACAACATGCGGTAGAGAAAAAGAGCACACAATATGCCTCCATTTAACCAGCTAGAAAGAAATAGAGCCATAAATTATAGAGGGCAAAAAAAAAAAAAAAAAAAGGATCAGTTTCTATTTCTACATTACTCTGAATAGGAAGCAAAGCAACACCTCAATTTCTTCCAATAAAGCTGGGCCTAAGAGCTTTCTCTTTTGAGTTCTGGAAACTTGCTACCAAATTTAACTTGGTTGGTTACACCCAGTTATTTCCTCTATGAAGCAGCGGGACTGAGTAAAGTATTTGCATAAAGGGAGAGCCTTAGGACAAAAACTTCATGTGTGGTAGCCCACATCCATCACTTCCTCAAACAGCCCAGGCAACAGATCAAGATTTCCCCTGGCCCTGAATCTGCAAGCCTAGACTATCCCAGCAGGGGTCCCCTTGCAAAGTGACCAAAAATTAAGTGGAAAAACCAGGAGTTCTTGTAAATCCTGCAAATGAATTCCAGATGCATTGGATAAAAGGGCACTGTGGTGCTCAGGAAGGTATGGCCATGAGCTCTGTGTACCAACAATACCTCTGTGCCTTTCTGACCACAAATAACATGGGAATAGAATAGCATAGCTTTCTCCTCACATCCATGCTGGTACAACTAAATCTGTTGGATTTCTTCATTCCACACTTCTATTAAAAATAAAGCTTGTTTAAGGAAACAGGACAATTTTCTCCTGTAGGAGAAAAGGCTCTATGTAGGAGAATGTAGAACTAATACAAAGGATTTGTTTACAGAATATGTTAACTCATTATATATTAAGTTATAGGTTACTGAATCAACCCAATTGGTTGTGTTTTGTCTATACGATTAGCTAAAATGGGGTTGGCTAGTTTATGGTTCTATGTTGTCACGGGTTCTTTTTTAAACTGTACCCAGTTAGATTGACCCAGATTCAAGAGAGATACAAAAGCACTGGACCATGGACAGGCGGTTTCTTTATATCTCCCTATAAGGGTGGGAGATATTTTATTTTGTAAAAACAAACATATTAAAGTGATATGTGAGTCTTTCCTATATTCTATTCTTATCTCTATACTATTACTATGATAATTACTATTACAATATACTATTACTCTTCAATTACTATTACTATGACAATGTTTATACTATTACCTATTCTTCTATTACAATTACCTATATACTATGCTCTATACTATTATTAGGCATCAACATTTCTTTCTTAAGCCTGTTCTGTCTTAAGTCCCCCTTCTGAGATTTCTGTTTCTTTTTCTCTTAATATTCATCATGTAGAGCTCTTGCACTTTTTCACATTGTGTTTTGTCTTGCTGGGCTGCTATACTTTAATTAAATTTAATTAATTAATTAACTATATCAAATTTGTCACTGCCCATCTTGTGAAACAACTCTGGGCATTTTACAACAAGATAAAAATTCATTAAAATACAACATAAAAACAATCCTAAAAATAAATAGGTGTCCCAAGATGATGGAAAATTGGCATATATATATGTGTGTATAAGGACGTGAAAGTTCCCGGCCAGAAATGGCTGACGCTTCAGCAGTTCGAGTCCAGCCTTCGCGTTAAACAGGGTGAGCTCCTGTTTCCTCCCCAGTTCCTA